CGCAAATAGCCCGGACGCTCTCACTCGATAACACACGCGCGCTCGTGCATTCCGCGCAGAAAATCAAATGCGCGTATATACGCGCGGTAGGCGTTTCTTTCCCGGAGAAAGGTCACGCGCGCGGTATGTGTTACCATTAAATGCCATGCTTAAATACGTTCCGCGAAGGAAATATCGACTACCTGTCCTGTGGGTGACGTCGTCGGTGCACTTGCGGGCGCGTTCGCGACCGCCGCACCGCCGCCGCGGCGTGCAAATTTTTCCGCGCACGGAGCGCCGTCCCGGATTTCGCTCCTCCTTGGAGACAGAAATTGTAGTTGCTCTTTCGGCTCTCGGGCACGTACACCAGTTATTTCAGCGATATAAGGAATTCTTAGAAATTCGCCGCTGGCGATCGAGTGATCTTGGATACTTTACCGGCGCGGGACAGTGCCATGAATTCACAAACAGTTGCGAGCTTCGTATAATTCCTCACGTATCCAAGCGGCTGTCGAATCCCAAAACGTTTTTCGCGGGAACCCGAAAATCTTGACTCAATCGCGCGCAGTTTAGAAACGGCCAGGGAATATTACAATGTTTCTTTGACTTCAAATGAGAAAGAGAGCTATTTCAAGCAATAAGTAAAAGAACAGAAAAAAATCAATGCGATATTTGATTTCTCTCGAATTAAAAAAAAAAAAAACCACAATTTTATCAAATCAGTTTTAGTTATTGTCTTTGAAATTCATCTATTTCTTTTTTTTTTAATCTAATCACGTTATGCGGACACGTCGGTTTGCCTCAAGTAAGCCGTTGTCGTTATCGCACTTCAACTTTGCCACAAAGACTTCTTGAAACCCGGCGAAGTCAGTCAGTAATTCGCCGTCTCCCAATTCTCTGAGATGATCCCTGAGGTCTCTCCCTAACTAACTCCCCCAATGAAACAGATCTCTCGCTTGGGGTGTCACGTAACACTCGTAAGGATCGCTCGCACGCACATTCTGCTTTACCCTTCTGGTAATGGCGCGATTGAAACACGTCGGAGTCGCACAATTTGTCGAGAAATTTCGGTCTAAAATTTCGAGCTTGTACGTCGCACGCGCGCGGAATTCGTTACGTTACGCGTGTCGTGTACGTTGCAATTTATTTGTCGTTTAATATGCGATTTTTGCGTGTGCTCGTGTATCGCACCACAAAGCTCTTTTATCGGCAAAAGAGACAACGAACGTGTTTGCATGCACGAGGTATAGAAATACAAGAAAGAAGTCGCGAGAAGAAATCTCTATCGAAATAAATATTTGAAGAAAAGAAACTACATATGTACGTATATACAGTCAAAGCAGAGAGAGAGAAAGAGAGAAAGTCAGAGGTGCGTCCGTGTGAAATCGCAATCTAAGCCTTTACGATAAATTTACGTCGCGTTTCCTAGCTAGGCACACGGCAGCTTTGCTCGGGATTCATCCCGTGGGAAATCAGTTAGTTTCGTTCGGTGAAATTCGTAATATTACCGCGGTAAGGCAAGCTTCAAGGAGGCCGCGAATAATCGAACACCGATACGTTAAAGTCGATATCTGGATAGCAAACAGTTGAAATTGAGCGCGCGTTTCTCTTTCGTCGCTCTAAGGAATTAACAATCGAAAGAGCAAGAGAGAGATAGAAATTGCGGTTACAATTTGATTTTTTTTTTTGTCTTAAGTGTCCTCTAGAAAAACGATTGTCGTTATTATTGATGAGAAAAACGATCGTTGTCTCAAATGGCATTTAATAAATATTCGATCAAACACGATTACGTGAAAAAAGAGGTCAATTCGCGGCAAATAAAGGAAGAAAAACACGGAGGAACGAAGAAACCTACGCGTGGGAATATCGGCACGTGATGTTCCTCTTTGTTTGTTTTCAACATTTTTATTTTTCTCATTTTCTACTGAGAGAATGTGTCAATGTTGCCCTTTTCCGTTTCTGATGAGAAATCATCCGATCGCTCGCTATTGGCTTTGTCGCACACGCGCGCGCGCCGTGCAATATACGTACATACATACGTATCCCCGGCACCATAATAAAATGAACGCGAAATTACTAAATGTGAACGCGCGCGCGCGCGCGCGCTCGCTCATTGACATTTATTTCATTATTCTATTCTTTAGCACTTGCCAAGTCAGAGGCCAAATTGGTTCTCCGTCCGATCTCATTTTTCATCCATTCTGTATACGTTGCTTTTCTCGCGAATGCCCGTAATCAGCTCTTCGATAACACAAGAGAGTGCGAGAGAGAGCGAATGTTTGTCTTCCTTTTATTTCACACGCGCGCGCGCGCGCGCGATGCAAACACGTCTCGTCGGACGTTTTCCGTCGCGGCGTATATCTACACACGAGTGTTTCTTTCCCTTGTTATTTGCGAAAACGCGGCGTCTCACAAGCGTCTCACAAGCGGCGAATTGCAAAGGAGACGTTCTTTCCAACCGGGAGAAGAAGAAGGCGGGGGAGGAAGGCGCAATACCTTCGAAAGGTATTTTATTAACGGCGGATGAAACAGACAGCGCGGACAAAAGCTGACGTGCTATAGTGTTCGGTGGCGATACATTGGACGGAACGGAACACGCAACACGAGCCGCGCGCAATTGCACCGATCCGCATTCCGAATGCACGCGAGCGATGCGGTCGCTGACTGCAATTGCGGTCTACACGCGCGGCGAACTATACTACACCGCTCGGAAAAACAAATCGGCTCACACGACTCGCCGATGCGTTTTCTTGTTGAATTTGATACCAACTAAAAACCAAAATCAAATTTAGAAATTTATATTCGATTCGTTAATTTTCCCGTTTCAAATATATTTTTGCGTTTTAATTTTGTTTTGACACACTCTACAAAATCTCTCTCCCAACGAGATGAGACTACGTCGCTCGCTTTGTTCTCACAGCGAGCGGAGCAACCAAGCCGCGATACGCACCTTTTACGTTTTCGCTTGTGTGCAGTCGGTTTTCTTTCCGCGAAGCCCAGGTAAACTCCGGCTTATAGAGATTGCGTAACGCACCAGAAACAAGTGTCTAAAAGCTTCCGTTGCATCGTTTCCGACTAGCACAAAGTTTCGCGAAGTAATCAGAAACGTGGAAGGAGGACCCGCCCCGCGTGCCACACACATTTATGCGAGTTTCAAACTCCACCTTCGCCCAACCTCAATCTCCTGCTATTATAACGTCTACGACGATGAACGAAAATATATCCCCGGCGCCAAGTTTTCGGAGAGACCGAAGCGAGACGAGGGTGGGGAAGGAGGAGAGGTTTCTAGCAGCATAAGTTATTAGACACGCCCGCGCAATAAAATTATGTTTCGCCTGTATCTGGGATTTCTCTCCACCGCGGCGGTGGAGTCACGTCAATTACGTGATATCACGTCGAAGCTAAATTTTAATTGCCCACTCGCCGCGACTACCCGCGCTCGCCGTTACACACAGCCGGGCCGGTGTGTAACCGAATAACCGAAAACGAGCCAACTTGGAGCAGTTTTAAATTCAAGTTGGAGAGTAAGTAATTAGTAATTCTTTCCAACCAGTTTCTCTAACGGGCAAGAACTCCAGACTATCCTCTAATTATAAAGAAGCGGACAGGAAAAGAGAGAGAGAGAGAGAGACTCAGAGGGAGACCGAGAGGAAAAAAAAAAAGGATGACATCTCCGCCGGTGAAAACGAAGGCACGTGTTTCAAGTATCTTCCTCGCGAGCGGAGGAATCCTTGATATTAATTAGATGAGCGTCGTAACTCTGAAATCGGAGAAGTAAGAAGCCGAACTTCGTTTTGGAGTTCGTTAAAGGAGTTACTCGCGTTCGTATGGCGGTGGATAACCTAACTCGCGTAACGACTCTTAACGCGATGGTCTTCCCTTCCCACCCCTTTGCTCTATAGCTCACTCTCTCTCTCTTTCTCTGTCTTTTCCCTTTGTAACAAACGCAAAGTTTCTGGCGTGAAACGCGTCTCTACCTGCGGATGCTTTCAATTTGCAGGATACCTAACCTAACGTTCGATATGTTGACGCCGCGAAAATTAATATTTTCTCGCGAAAATATTAATTTGTGCGCGATCGCACATATATTTAATCAAAAACGGTTTGTTTTCACTTACTTTTTTCTTCTCTCTCAGCTTCGTTTCCGTACGTAATGAACGAGTATCGAAAAGCTGCCATCAAAGATGCGTGCGCGAGCCCCAAGTTCCTCTCGATCCGACGCCTTCGTTCTCTCTCCTCCGTTTTCTTTCCTCTTCGCTCACACTTGCTCACACTTTATACGCGCGCGTTTACGGTTAAAGTCAAAAAAAGTGTCGGTTATTACTGCAAAAACTCTCTTATCGGACAAAAATTTTTATTCTAGTTGGCTGAAAAACTTTTTCAGCCGAGATAGCGAAATCACCTCGCGCGCGCATTTGCGTACAAAATAAAACCGCGCCGCCGCCGTACGGCTGGTCGTAAACGGATTACGAGTCACCTGTGGAGCCATCTCTCGGGAATGCAAAATCGGGAAATACCGTTCGAATTATTCGTAAGCGAAATTCTGATGTTTTTCCACACCGACAACAAAAAAATCGAGTCAAATCAATTTCGATAACAAAACTCGCGTTTGTTTTGACAAAAAAGAATCTCTGAATTTGTTTAACTTTGCGCGCGAGTCGGTAATTTTCTGTCGGTATAACAGACGCGTGACTTGCCCCAAATTGCTATTCGACCGATCGCCACATTTACTTCTTCTGTTCTCTTCTGGTTATATGGCGCAAGCTACTTCAGTCGAAACGAGCAAAAGCCAGTTCGTTACTCGACGAAGCAACGAACAACTACGTGATACGAAGTTGGAAGACTTCGAAAAATACGTAAATAATAGTTTTGAAGGAATCGCGACGCGAGTCAGTTTCCACGACCTTCCCTCGTGACCGAGCGAAGATAACTGACTTACCATCCGTGCCGTTCGTTGTTGAGTCTCGCTCTCCCCGTTAGATGGCGGTGGCCGCGGCGTAGGCACAACATGGCCGCCTGGCATTGGCATCGCCATGGCAATTCTCTTGGCAGCCTCGTAATCGTCGCCTTTTTTATACATTTTACACGAGTTTTTTGATACCATCGTCTAGAATATAGATAAGTGCGTGTGTATGTGCGTATGTGATGATGAAAACTGTGGCCGAGCGACCGCAGAAGTAATCCCGAAAGAGAGATCGTCGGATAAACGTGGTGATAAACGCGGTGAGTGTGTTTTTCTCTCTTGTTCTATCGCCTCGCGATAAACTTCGAACCTCAATTTCTCCGCGTTGTTACGACGTTCAAAGTTGAGAGATCAACTTGTTTACGCGATTGTCGAACAACACGAGAGTCAGTGTTGCGACAACAGACTCGAAACTGCTGCGAGTGACGAATCGTCCGACCGACGCAACGCAGCGAAAGTCAAGTCGCGTGTGTTTCCTCCGAGTCGGTTGTGTGTATAACCTCCTCTCTCCGTGTGTACATCCGTGACGGGTATTTTTTATTCCCTTTTCTTTCGATATACACGCACGATGTTTGTTCGCGATGTCGTCTTCGTCGTGTTTGTCTCGAATTGTCATTTCGAAAGAGCGATTTTTTGCGCGAGATTTCGCGACGTTGTCTCGACGTATCATCGCGTGGCGATCGAGCGCGATTTCGAGTTCCGCGGTACAACGGTGGTAAACAATCGAGATTGTTTACCGATCCGCCGATGACACCCGCGTGAACGGGTCGTTGACGCGCCGGCAGATAAACGAACGTCTCCATGGTAACCCCGGCACGTTCGCGAGCGTGTTGTGTTGTGTTGTCGTTTTTGCGTGTGTTGTGACAGCTGGCTGAAAGTGTCAAATATCGTGGGCGCGAGATCGAACGTCAAGCGATCGTTGGCCGCTTGACCCACGCTCGAACTTTGAATGGTTTTTTTTATTTTTATTTTTTTGTAAATTATTGTTTTTATCGAACTCGAGTCGCGAATAATTCCGCGTCTCCGGCGGAATCACATTCGTCGTTTCTGAGTAAATTCGCGAGCTCGTCAGCTGTAGTTCGATTGTCACGCTCCAGCGGCGGATATACGGATCGGTATTTACAAAACTTTATAGGGTTATAGTTGAACATAACATTTAAGTGCGAAACAAAGCGTTTCTCGAAGCGCAGAGAAACGTATTGATTTTTCCGCTGAAATTAATGTGTCTCCGCGATGTTTGCTTTCAGGGCGGACCTAGCCGCATTCTGAGAGAGAGAGATAGTGAGAGAGTCTGAAAAGCGACACAGGTGCGTACCGACAGAGGCATCCCGCGGAGGGATGTTTGAAGTAACCAAGCAGTAGGGACGGATGCACGTATGTTTGTTATTATTACTTGGTTTATTTATTTTCTGCATTAGTTCTCGTTGACCGCACACATGTACACAAAAGAAAAATAGCATTTGACTTTTATTGCTCGCTTTGTCTCTGTGATTATAAATTTTCAATTGTTATCCCACGTTTTGGGAAATTCAAATTGATTGTCAGTAGATTTTTTCTTTTTTTGTTTTTATTTTCGCATGGTTTGTGTCTCTCTTTTTGATGAGATAAAATACTGGATGTATTGTTACGTATAATCAGAGTTTTTTTTTTTTTCACATGTTTACTTCAATATCATATTACGCACACAGAGATGATGTATTGTTTATTGCGTCATATATTCTTATTATCTCTGAACATGTACGGAACATTGAAATTTTATTTATTGTTTCATTAGAGATTAATTTCTCCAGAGACATAAATCATGCTTTCAAGTAACTATGCAAAACGTATGAAGGTATTATCAGTGTGTATTATATACATTGTTTATGTGTGAGGTCATACAGTTATTGAATTTTTTTCTTCGTGACATACAGTGTTAGTTTGCATACATATGTTACTATTTCATTTCTCCGCTTCTTTGGATATCTTTATTGCCGAAAATATCGCTCATATTTATTGCAAAATTCACTGCATTCTCGAGAGCTTCTCTTTATTATAATGTTTATTGCCAAAAATATCGCTCATATTTATTGCAAAATTCACCGCATTCTCGAGAGCTTCTCTTTATTATATAATTTGCTCTTTCAAAAACAATACATTATCTTAATTTTCTTAAGAATAAAATGATGGAGTACGGAAATGTTAATGTAGAAAAGTAACATATGTTTCTTATATTTTTTTTGAAGTTTTATATTTATGTTACGAAGTTACACAAAGTTACTGATAAATCTCACTGTTACGAACAGTAAGTATATACACTCATGTTTATCAGCAGTATGTTTGTCAATTATATTTAATCTTGAAAACACATACTTTTATAAGAAACTTCGTTAATTTTCGAGCAGTACGACGACCCATTTTTATCACAAATATATGATGTAAACAAAAAGACAAGTTTGAAATCACCATTTTCTTTACAATACGAACGAGTATTGATACATAAGTCATTCCTAACTGTAATACAACTAGTATCGAAACAACTTTTATTCATGTTTTTACATACAAAATACTACTCAACATTTATAGACAATTGTTTTATTCCATTCGTGTAATCCATTTGTTTAAAGCAAGTGTATCTTCTCTTTTGTTACTCGCACTATTTTGAACGGGTTTTTCATACAATTTATTCTTGATATCCCTGTGGAGAAAAAAGTGCTATTAGCGCTATAGTTTTTGTTTATTAAAAAAATATCTGTAGTTCTATTTTACCGACGTATGTTTCACTGCGTGTCTCTGGTAACTTACGAACGAAGGTAAGTTTCATGTACCGAAAATGCAGCGCGTATATCGGCTGTTGTAGGTTTACCCTTGACTAAATTTTCGCACCGACTTTCCCTGGTCTGAACAGTACGTCGGTAACAGAGGTTTCTGTTTGTTATAAGAACCAGTTTCCATTTGATAAAATGAAAATGCTTTCCCACAATCGAGACATTTGTTGACCACTAATACAGTAGAAAATCACCTTTTGTTTGTTTAAAAACATGTTATCGTTCCATAATAAATCAAAACAAGTCAAGAGACGTTAGAATCTTTCTGAATATTTTCGAGAAAACGGAAATAAAATGTATTAAAACCAGTTTTACGTTTTACGTAGACGTAGTTAAACATATTTGCTACTTTGTGCAACCAGCACACCTTTCCGTCGTATATTCTCTATAAACTTACCGCGAGCATCTATTATTCGCTTGTGGATACAAAATTTCTAGTTGAAGTACCGGCGAAGTATGTGCGTGAAAAAAAAAAAAAAAAAAAAAAAAGAAAAAAACTTGACGCAATTTTAGGAAAATATACTTTGATTAATTGAATTTCGCAGACGTTTTTCAAATATTCTTTTTGTTAACACGAAAAAGTTTGCTATTCGCGGCGTATTGGAGTGGTATGGAAACACGACGGTGAAATGAAAAGCAAAAAACAAGGAAAAAAAAAACGAGAGTAAAGGGCGAGTTTATGTGAAGTGGAGTGACTCGTGGGTGTGGGTTTGCGTTTGCGTACACGTGAGCGAACTTTCGACCGTGTGTGTTGTAGGGTATTATTTTTAATCACTCAATAGTTCGCCCGAATGCCCGAGTGCGAATCTCGAGGCAATGCGATTATACCGTAATTGGATTACGTTTGACTTCCACCTGTTTTCATGCAGATACACGCCGCGTTCGCTTCTTTTCACAGCGCCGAGGTGATGCCAATATCGTTTTTCTTTTCTTTTTTTTTTTTTAAACATAGCAATTCAACGTTCTAGCTTTTAGTCGCAATCGACACAAGCTAGTAACTTAACAATATAATCGCAAATGTAGTTCTCGTCAAAAAGATATTGCGAGACGCACGATAACGCTTTTAAATTACGCAACATATTCGATTTCTTTAATTGTGTTTTCTATTCTTCTTGTGTGACAAAGAAAAACGATAGAAAAGATCTTTGAAACAAAAAACTCTAGAGTACAAAGAGAAATTCGCAAATTACGTTTTGACTGGTGCGTCTGTGATGTCAACATCCTCTCTCAGCCTTTTAAATTGACAATGAATCATGAATTCCCGGTTGTACGAGGGAGAACATCTGGTCCCGCGTATATTGTGTCAAAGGGGCGAGAGATCTCACGAGGGTAGTAAACCAACAGCCGATAATCGATCATGCGACTCGGTAACTCCATTCACGGCGTGTATAAAAGGACGGATAAGCATCGTGAACTTTCATCATTAAAACGCGTGACATACGCCTCTTACGTCAAAACGTCGCTTTAACCTTTTACATCTCCGGGATTAAGTTAAGTCCATTACCTTCGCGCGTGTATTTTTCTTCTTTATCATTAAATAAACATCTCGAGTTCGATCATTCTCGCCGCTCATCCTCCGCGTATTCTTCTCTCTCTCATCCGCGTTTTCTCGTCGTCAAATAACCTGTTCTTCAATCGTCGCGTTATCTGGAAGAAAGAAAAAAGTCTCTCTTTATATAAACTCATCTCTTTTTGTTTTTGTTGTTTTTTTTTTTTTACCACACGTAGAATTCGAAGCCGCACAACTGTCAAACTATAATAAAAACGTCCGATAATTTCTTTCAACGTCATTTGGGAAACTTTTTCAACTCGCGGATGACATTAATGAAAAAGTGATTAATTTCGAGTGTGGAAACGGTAAACTTGCTTCGGCATCGGATTCCGACCGCATTGCCGGGATGAACTAAATCAGGCGAGGGAGGTAGTGTGGCGGGCTGCAAGTAACTGACCGCAAAAGCGACGACGAGTCGCTTCTTCTTTTTTATTTTTTTTTTATTTTTTTTTATTTATTTCTGTTTTTCTTTTACGCGGAGACCCCATTCGTTCATTAGACCCGACCAGCCATGCAACACGCTCTCGCGCAGACCGAAGTCGTTGCCGAGTTTTCTCTCGGACCGCGTGGTACATCTCTCATCCTATCTTCTCGCTCGACTCGAAAACTTCCCTCTGCCTCGTTTCCTTCCTCTAAACCATCCGCTGCTAGTTCGGAGTAATTTGAAAATGTGACCGTGTCTATAGATTTTAATAGAGTCGCGCCGTCTCATTCTGATATTTTCGCACGTATTCGCATTAGATCTTCTAATTTTATGTGCAAAAGTGAAACACCGACACAAGAGTTTGTGTAATTTATACAAATTCTATCATTTATGCGCGAGCAAATTTTGTTCGCAAGACTAACACATTAAAATGAATATGATAATTATCGATGTTTCATCTCGCGAGCGCGTTCGTCAATTTCCCGTTGATTTTTACTTCCTCGAGAATTTTTAGTCGTTATCTCAACACGCGCGCTCCGCTTCTTTCTTCCCTCTCGTAATAACTAATTCTCGCATGCTCCGTCTGAGATCTGGAGCGCATTTTTGCGGTCACGTTATAAAACTCTGGTTTTCCATACCCGGCGAGATTGAAAGTAACCGAGGTGGAAGTAAAGCCGAGAACCGCGTTTGATCTTAAACCGTCCGGACTATTTTTGATGTCGGCGCATGCTCGCGTTGCGTTCTGTCTCTCTCTCTCTCTCTTGCTCGCGCGCGCACGCAGAGAGAGAGAGAAAGAGGCTCTTTCATTGATTAATATAGCGGTACTTAAGCCTGAGGCTGTGTGCATTTAATTACGTAATGTCAGGCGCACGCGGTATGTAGCTAAATAAACACGTGCGCAAGGTGAGCTGCGTGGAAGGGAAATGCGTAGGGTAATAGCTCAACGTGGTGGATAGTGTTACACATACACAGACGCGAAAGCGTCTCTGCAAATCTTTCGGCACCTCGCGTGTGGAAACTGCATGCTATTTTAGCTCTATTTGTCGGTGTAAACTACATACAAAATTTTAAGGATAATATCGCAGCGCGTTAAATATCAATCTTTATGCTCTGTCACTCGCGTCCTTCTCTCACATTCTCTTTTTGCTCTTTTGCGCTCATTGGTCGCTACCACTAACACGCACACTCGTTCGCCACTTTACAAATGTCTCTGTTCATGTGCTAATTAATTAAAGGACACCCGAGAGACACCCGGCGCCGTATCGGTAACGAGAAAAAATACGCCGCCAAAGTTGGGTCGTTTTTCAAGCGCCATAATGTCGGTCTGCGCAACTCGATTGTTTTAATATCGATCGATGCGCTTTCGTACTTTGTTACATCCATAAGTCGGGGATTCGAGAGTTTCGAGTATAAATTACAATTGCGGCATCTGCGGCGTAACAACGCTCTCGATTCTTCTGTTATCAGGGGGATAATAAAGTTATTTACCGTCCCGTTTTATCGTCATTGCCATTAATATTTTCGTTGTTGTCTTTCATACGCGATCGGTTTACGGATATATTCATCCTTTGATATAAATTGCCGCGAGGGGAAAAAAAAAAAAACAAGAAAATGCTATTTTGGCAAAACCACGACCGACACGTGGTTTCATTACTGTCACTTAAGACTTAAACCCAGCTTAAACTACGCTCCAGGCGATCGTGGGATTTGCCGTGTTAAAGCTAAGCTACCAAGAAGCGCCGTGACAGTAAGGATACAGCGAACCAGACTGCCATTCGCACAGCGTATTCACTTTGGTGGTTCTGGCAAAAGTTGTTCAATATTGTTTTCACATAAATCCAACTTATGCGTGAAGAAAATCCGGTCGTCGCGGAGAGGAAATTAATCGTTTGTTTTTTGTTCTTTAATTTTCAATAATTTGGTTACGAAGTTCAAGAATTTTTTTTTCCGATTGTTTCTACACGTAGATCACTTAATTCTATAAATAATGAATATTTATTTATTGTTTTGCAGAGTTTTTAGTAAAAATCCTGCAACTCACTTCACTTAGCAAATATTGAATAAATAAATGTTTGATATTTTCTCTTTGCCGAATATTTTATTTAACCGCTATCGTGTTGTCAATAGTTAACGGACATTGATTGGCAAACAGAGAGCCGCAATTGTAGTCTTACGGTTTGTGCAAATTTCAACAGCGGATTAAATCGATTTTGCATTTTAAAGCGCGCGATCGCGACGGGAGAGAAATAAGCCTCGGCAGAAGTAATAATTATTTACTAGCTTGTGCGCAAATTCGCAACATACAAACGTGGCACACATACGTTTGTGTGTAAATACACAGAACGCCGTGTATCGTGTACACGACGTGATTATATCGCGCAAAATAGAGATATTCTATTGCTCGGATCGCGAATAATATGAAAACGCAAAGTTTGTATGACGTTTTTGAAAAAACAAAAAAAAATCAAATTCTCGATATCCATATTCGTAAAAGGGTCGCGGTAATAAGATTTGATAGAACCGTGATCGAAAACGCTATTCGAATTTTTCCGATAAAATATTCTTAATTTTTGCATCAAGTGTGCGCATCAGTTAACTGACGTTTTCCAGAAATCGGAAGGGCAAACAGAGTCGGAAAAGCGGGAAGAATCTTGACAACTCCAACACGGGCGAGTTGGTGACATTTTTATTTATCGAACAGCCAATAGTATTTTCTATTTGCGCGCACTTTGCGCAGCATTCGGTGCGGAAACTGCATCTGACCGCACACATTCGGTGCTTCGTTCCTTAAACAGAAAAGAACTACGTTCAAACGTACTAATTGAAATTTGTAGTGCGCGCGAGTCTACTTGAACGGCAAAACTGAAGCCCGGAGGTTTGCTTTTAACGTCGATATTTTTGCTGGTCTGCCTGGCAGGTGGGAAAAGTTTTTCGCGCACAGAGTAGGTCAACAATTTTCATTCGAGCCGATCGAATGCGCACACGTGTAACCGTGCGCTTTGCTTACGTACAACAAATTATTATTCTTGATCTCGCGATGAGATAACAAAAAAAAAGGAAAGTTTCCGCTGTGTGTTTCTCGTCACGGTTGGACGAGAGATCAGTCGCTGATGTTTGAGCGGATTCGCGAGACAAAGTCGATCGGGCAGAAATTGCAAATGTTGTAATGTGAAACATTACGGCGTCCCGCAAATTCGATAGGCGCGCCACCGCGTAATGACCGCGATATGTATGTATTTTTTTTTTGTTTTTTTCTTTTTTTTTTATACGCGGGAGCTTCTCTCGGCGCGGAGATCACGTGCGCGAGCGAGAGACGCGCGTTATTCTATCGTATTTCCCTCGTGCGAGAGTACAATCTAATTTATGTCGAGCCTCGCTCGTTTCACGCCGATGCGTAATAAATTATGCACGAGAGTCGTCGAGCTATCGTGACACTCGCGGAATTCTATCGAGTTTTCGTTTTGCGGTTCGTTTTTTCGTAAAACATTAATGTCAGTTTTTTTTAATGCGATGTCGGAAATGGTTACGTGACATTACGGAGCGCGTTAAAGAGACTTGAGAATGTGCGAGAGGAGGAGAAGAAGCGTGTTTGCTTTGCCACACATTTTTTTGCGTGTAACGCGCAAATATAAAAAAAAAAAAAACAACTTGCGCGATACGAAGATCTGCGAAATGTGTTATCGCGCAATGTGATATTTTCCTTGCGCAAAAATATTAAGTGTACATTTACACGGCGGCGTTTAAAATTTACCGAGTCGAATTATCCTCGAGTTTAATCTGCGTGAAACGTCGGTTAGCGACGACAAAAAACGTGGAAACGCCGCGTACGTTACCTTTCTTCTTGCGTGTAGGGGGAAGCGCCACGCGCGTTAGAGGCGGCCCCCCCGATTATCGATTTATCATCCTTCTTCGTCCGCTGATTCTCCTGGTCCATATTTCTCAGTCGCATATTACCCAGATAGTCATCTCTGCCGTCGCTTTAAAACGTTGCCGGTTAAAGGAACAAAAAGAAAACGGTTGAACGAGACAGACAGATAAATGACGATTTTACGTCACGGTGTAATATTCAACCCCTCCCTCATTCGTTGCGCGCGTGTGTCGTTTTAACAAAAGATCGCACACGCGTGTGTTGCGTGTAACGTGTCGAGGCATTTCACATCGCGAGTTTCTCTTATTTCCCGGGTGTGTAAAACTCGCGCCGCAAATGAAGAGATTTCGCTTCTAATGGGGAACAATAAAAAAAAAAAAAAAAAAAAAAAAACTGTACTCGCGTAACGTCTAATTGCACCGAAAGGTGTATTGAGAAAAATTCAATCGCACCGAAACAAAATCTTCATTTAAACAATTCAACTTTATCAAAGAGATTCTTTCGCGCAAGTACGTTTGTACGAACGAACGAACATTCGAACGAAACCCGACAGATGGACGGAGTAAACGTCTGTCAACGACCGGAACGTGCGAACGACGCGGGAAATTAGCATTGCACTTGTGTCAAGGAGCGCGCGCGAAGGGTTAGTCAGTCCGAGAGGGTCTTACTCGCATATTAAATATCGCTCCAGTGCTTACGACGGAAACGGCCAAGAACCGCGCAATCAACGACACGCGAGAGAGACCGCTGACGATAAGGACTACAATCGCGAGCGGCCAACAAGAGTTCGATAGTTTCTCTTC